TGCAATTACTCGAGTTTGGATAAACGACTTCACATATACAAATTCGTTCCTTACTATTTCGTCGAGAATTCTTTGGTAAAAATACAAATACGAAAATTAAGAAATATTAATTAGAATCAATTAAATAAATAAAAACGAAGTATTTCTGATTTTATTATACCAGTGTTTCTAAATGGATGTGAGAGATTTCAAGGGATGATTTTTCAGCGAAAATTACGGGGTGTCTTTCATATCGCTTTTTGTTCAAAACGCCTTCTCCTCCAAGTTATAGCCCTCTAAAATTAAGGGAAAAATCTGCAACTTTCTTATCTCTTGACATTTTACAACTAACAAATTGTTAATTTGATCACAAAAAATAAAATAATATTGAGATCAATTTGACATAACTTCATTTTTTTGACTAATAATCAATCTCTGAATTAATTCACTTGCTAATACATTGAGCCTAGGTATTATTTTATTTTTTTGTGATCAAACTAACAATTTTAGGAGAAAATGTCAAGAGACAAAAAAGTTGCGTATTGAATCCCACTATTTAAATCAAGTTTTTAAATAGAAAAATGTAGACGTATTAAAAAGTTCTAATGCAAACTATTATGGGGTTGACTTGTTCAGCCTCTTGTAATAACATTTTCGGGTTATAGAAATCGTCAAGAAGTGTCATTTTATTAACAAGAGTTACCTGCAAAATTTCAATCTTCTAAATTCCTCCATAGTGGATTTATTAAATAAAAACAATTTTTTCCCCTAACTTTAGAGTGCTGTAACTAGGTGGGGAAGGGGTTTTGAACAAAAAGTTATATGAAAGACTCTCCTTAATTTTTGCTGAAAAATCACTCCTTGATATCGCAATTTAGAAATAGCCTGTATATTAATGAACTTTTTTAAGGTTGACTTTATTGTGTTGACTGAACATAATGAAAATAACTAAAATGACTTTTGTTTATGGAGCAGGCAGAGATATTAATTATGCCCAAAATTTATTCGAACAAAGATTTCTAGACAGAAACATCCTATCTTGTGTAAGATCTTCAATAGAGAAAAAGGCACTACAAGAAATTCAATGTTTAAGCTGCTGTTCGTAATAATTCATATCTTTAAAAAAGGACGCGACAAATTTGTAAACTTTACGACAAATTACAACAAATTAAGCGACAATGAATGACGTCATTAGTTTTTTGTTATCTCCACTCTTTACCATAGATTCCCACTGTCAAGTTAGCACTACTTCAAAAATGCAATATTTCAAGTATTGTTTATAAAAAAGGAACCGACAAATTTATAAACTTTACGACAAATTACAACTAATTAAACGACAATTAATGCAATAGTTTTTCTTATTGAAATCGCAAGATGTAGTGCCAACTTGACAGACGTCTTTGCATCAAGAGCTTTAGGAGAATGATATCCAAAAGCCAATTTCATTTTGTTATTAGAGACAAGTATGCTTTATTGGTTACTAGAAAATTTTTATTGGTTACGTGAAATGAATTACTAACGACGTTGGGCAGTTAATATATTGTGTGGGATTATAGGTAACTTTTTAATTGCCCCTTTCTTCGAAAAAACATGCTTATCAAAAAACATGTACCCTTTGAAAAGCATACTTAACAATTGAAAAATATTGATGGCGCTTCTAATATGCAATAAAAATCGTTCAGAATACATTCCGCCTTATACGATGAAAGTTTTATCTGAAACTTTTTTGATAAAATTGATGTTTTACGAGTTATTAGGTAGTCTCAATTTGAATGCCTTACTCGGTATATAAAATATAGTCTTTTAAACAAACTTCTTAAAAAGATTCAACGCAGTTGGTTTACTCTCATAAAACCTGTTCATACACCTACTTAAAAAAATTTGGCGGCTACAAATCGGTACCTACCGACGAATAGTCTCCAACAATTCGGTATTATTCCCGAAGGACACATTATCGATTTTTTCTATGCAAGAAATACTAAAATATATGCAACTTATTTTACGCTTTTCGTAGTAATACGTTAGGGCGCGTATAGTAAAATTTAAATTTTTATGAATGGCGGCACATAAATTACCCTGCCATCTGGGTATCATGTGCACAAACTAACATCAGTTGAATAACTATGTATATCTATAAACAAGTGTAATATTATGATAAATCGTGAGACCTGGCAACCTTGCCTCTAGTCCTTACCGTTGTCGAGATACAGCCGCTGCGTAACCTTAACGGGACACCTGTATATTAAAATCTGGAGATAATGATTAATTGATTAAACCGTTGTCGAAAAGTGTTTCTTTACTAAAAGAATTACAATTACAAATAAACGTAATCAGTACAGCAAATTATATTGATTGCAAGCAAACAAGTTAATTGATGATTTGTCAATTAAATGATTTTCATATTCTTCCGACTGGGGGACCTATTTATGGGAAAATCTAAAACTTGATATAACAAAATTCATAAAAAAGTGCGAAGAATACTAACGTTATAAACATTCGATACCTCATAAAGAACCGGTGACAATAACAACCGCTAGGCGAAGTTTTTTGATCGCAAAAGCTGTTGGCTGTACGCTAGGATTAGTGGTGATCACACAAAAAAGTAACTATATTTTCGTTATTTTTTAACGTTTTAGTACCTTCGGAAAATGTATTACAACTTTTGACGTATAGTAGCTAGGTTAATAGTATAAACTATGCTATGTCCCCTTAATTTGCTATTTCTCGAGCAGTGATCACTGCTATGCTTTAATCAGTGGTTCTTTTTTAATAATGGTGTAAATTAACAGTTGTATTAAATTAGCTTTTAAGGAAACACGCGATCAAACAATTTAGTTTAATTCAATTATTTTTGATCTTTTATTTTTTTGTTTCTTTATTTTTTGTTCTTTTACACTAAATGTACTGTAGTTGATAGTAACTTACGATGTACAATGTCCATTGTACATTATAATTTGGATTGTTTACTTTATTTTGGTTAAAACCTTCTTAGTCACCCGAGCTCACACCTTTAGATGCTTTTTTATGGGGCAAAATCAAAAATGAGGTGTATAATACACCTGTAAGCTCTCGTGAGGCATTAGAAAATAAATCGAGTTAAAAATTGTATTATTCAAATATCTCCATAGGAATAAAGTCAAGTTGTTAGATCGACAATACGCAAGATAGAATTATGTCAAAATCGAGGCGGAGGGCAGTTTGAAAATTTAGCAAATTAGTTTTTTTTAACTTATAATTGAATTAAATTTAATTGTTTATTCGCGTTTTTCTTTTAAAACTAATTTAATACAACTGTTAACTTACACCATTGTTAAAAAAGAACCATTGACTAAAGCATAGCAGTGATCACTGCTCGAGAAACAGTAAATCAAGAGCATCATAGCGTAATTTATACTATTAACCTAGCTACTATGCGTCAAAAGTTGTAATACATTTTTCGAAGGTACTAAAACGTTAAAAAACAACGAAAATAATTTTTTTTTCAAAAATTAATAGCGATCGTGAAAATTTTTTCAAGTAAAAGTTATGTGAATTTATGCTGTCTACCCAACTGAAAAAAATTTATAGATTTAAAAAAATAGCGAAATTAGTACTCTCATCCGGTATAACCAGAAATACAAAGATTACAAAAGATATACAATGATTTCATGTCGTAATAATCCTTTTTAACGGCCTAATTATGCGTTCCAAATGGTTTTCTTATATCACTAATAATAAAAAAAAATATGGGGTTGAACCACTTTTGAGGGACACCCGGTATATATATATTTAGAATTAAGTTAGTTGGTCAGTTCAGTTAAGATTTAGAGTATAACGTAAGAAGAACGTGTAAAGTATTATCAAGCATTATATGTATAGTCAAGAAAGTCAACGATTGTTTAATTTCATCTAATAAACCTACGTATCGTATCGGCTGGTCCGGAAAGTACACCGCTCGCGCTCAAAACGTGTGAGTTATGAACTCAAAACGTGTGAGTTTCTCTCTTCATCCATCTTTTAATGTTTTAATTAATTTTGACTTTTTTACCGTAATGAGTAGTCAAGAATTGTTTTGATGATTTCAACTGTCCCGATTTCACTTAATTATGATTAATTGCCTGTAGAAAAAACAATAAAGTTTCGACATATAATAGCAAGTAATAATTTAGTTACTTTTTTAGTCTGATCGCCGCACCCACTAATCCTACCGTATAATAAAAACAACAGCATCATCGCGTTTGAAAAAGTTTATTTAGATTTGGTAGGTCCATTAAATCAGGACGATGCCGATGATGATAACCGGTATACCGGGTGTTCCATCGGTTGTAGTATAGGCTTTTCTGACGTCTAAATTTTGATGTCTAAATCATGTCAATTTATATTTTTTATTATTTTTTTGCGAATAATTTGCAAACATGTTTAAAGTGACGAAATTTATGGTTTTATTTTTAACGATTCTTATACCACATGATGTGGGAATCATAGTAAAGTAAATTCATATCAAAAAATTTGCGATTTAACCATTATTTACGGCAAAAATTAAGAAATATGAAATGACAGTTAAATTTATTGTACCGTGCCAGCTCACTGGTGTGTATGATTTTGGTTTATTAGCATACTATAATCTATTTATAAAAAATAAAAATATTTTTAAAAGTCGACTTTTGCATAGTAGTTAGCAACCATCAAAGCGATATTTTTTTGTCAGCAGGACGTAATACTATATTAAAAAACTATAAATTAAATATTGAAGTTTAAAAACGAGTGGCGAAGCCACGAGTTTTTTTAATGAATGAGTGCTTTAAGTCTTATGAAACGTGTTTTTTATGCTATTTTTTGTAATTCGCGTTTTCATCCTGTTCCGTTTTAATAAAACTAAAATAAATTTTGACAATGTAGGGAAATAGGTACCTATGTAGCAGTTTCTAACACCGTAACACTTGAAAATAGAAATTTGAATAGAAATGTGGAGAGAACTGAGGGATAGGGACAAGGATATACAAAGGCAGGAGAGAAGGCCGAGAGGAGGCAGGTTTATAGACAAAATATCAGTTTTTACGAAACCTGGACTCAACGTCTATAACGTTTCAAAAATAGAAACTTAAAGTTCACGAAAATAAACACGAATTTACCGTTATTTGAATTTTGGTATTGGCTAATTCAATTCGTACATTCCCGGTGATAGCTCTTAATGCGATTTTAGAAAATCTATACATCACATCATGTTAATGTTATATCATAATCATGTTAATGCTTACGATCTAGTCGTCAATTTTACTCTCCGTCGTAATTTTTACGGCTTTTTTACAAGCTATTGCATAAGTCATAAAATTAGTATCCTTGTTTCGTTGCCAAGATTCTAATTCTCCCGTTAAAACCGACACGCATAAGTATACCGGCGTTATTAATTAAAACGTTTACAGGACCAACATTTATAGTAACCGACGTAAAACAGTCGAGTATTTCTTGAGATTTTGTTACAACCACGCTTACGGCAAATAATTTTCCATCATGATTTTCAACTAATTTTTCGATTTTTTCTTTTCGTCTTGCGAAACCGACTACCTAAATAAGTATCGTTAATAAAATTAAAATGAACATTATGTAAAAAGTTATGTAAAAACTATAAATTTAAATTAATCTAACCTTCATGCCAACTTTTATGAAAGCGTTGACCGTAGCAGCACCAATGCCAGCACTAGCACCTGTTACAATCACCATTCTATTCTTTAGGTCCATTTTAAAGATTCGAAAATAATTTGTTGCGTATTGAAGTATAGTTCTAAGGTTTTGCTGATTTGTTGTTGAACGACTACTTTATACTATAGTACACGAAGACATTTATGTATTGTGGGAAAAGATCCCACAAGAAAGTCGATGATTATTTTAAATCAGCGTTTCTGAAACTTGTTTCTCAACCTTGTAATGTTTGGATACCATACACAAGTTCTGGAATATTTTTACGTACCACCTATACCACCGATAATAAAAAAGTTAACCTAAAAATTTTTTAAAATAAATAATAAGGTACTGTGTTTCATCTAATCGTACGGCAATGATTTACTTGTTCGACTACAATTGTTTTAACAGATTTCGCCATTTGATTAATACGTATACTCACGGTATCGATTGATAAAGGGACATCATTTAATTGAGCTGTAATCTTTGCAGAAAAAATTTACTTTTTGGCGATTCTTAAGCTAATTCGATAACTGGCTTCTAAAGGCCCTACCATTAACAAATCCGTCCTTTAACTGCTTACGATTCTTTAGGTCGCTTAATGCTACTTTATATACAGTCTCTCTCTTTTGTATTTATTTTGGCGGAGATATTAAATTTATTTATTTCCCTTTCGGAAAGTATATAAGAAACCACTGTTTTCTTTGCCTTTATTTATCTCAATGATGACAATATTGTAACCACTATTTGACTACTCATCTATAATTAATCTTTTACCCCATTAAAAGTTACTTTTAATATCTTCTCTAAGTGGTCTTATTATCAATTCAGTTATCTACAATTAATTTCAAATTACTATACAATTCTTTTTGAGCGTCTCTCATTCATCTTACATGAACTCGATGTGGAAGAGGTAATAAATACACAATAGTATCTGAAATATTCTCACTTTCTAAATGTAGTAATTTCTTGTAAAGTTCATCAATTATTTGTTGAGTAAGTCCAATTGTTAAACCCATTTCCTTTTTAACCACTCCACTTATAAATAAAGTTTGGTTGAAAATTATTTATTGTCTTATTTCATGGCCTACTAATGAAAAAATGAACAAGATCTGCCTTACTTTGCATGATTTTATTTTACATTAAATTGATTAATTCCACAATATCTCAAAAACTACAAGTGATAGGTATAGGGACATGTAGTGAAGATTTGTAGAGAATTAAATTTTCCATTTAAAAATTAATAGCAATTTAATAGTAATTTTTTTAATAATGTATTCCTTATGAACCATGTTACTATAGAAGTTACAAATTAAGCAACAAAAGTCGTTATTTTTGCAAAAAAAATATTAGTTTGATTGAGTTAAGGTTGAAAGAATTTATGTTTAAGTTTGACACACGATATCTAAAAAAAAGGAGTAGTACAACACCCTTGGCAAGTTATCTTAAAAGATGGCCTGTTTAGTCAAGATTCCAAAATGTTATAACACTTGCCATTTTTCTTCATCAAAAAAATATGATTGCCTGTTTTTGCCTGCCTCATGTGGAATCGATAAATGGACTACTGATCAAGAATCGAAAAAAGTGAGTACCTTTTTGTCAGCACTTGAAAGTAGTGCAAAATATACTTGCATATATCGTTTTACGTAAAAATTTTCTCTAAATTTAATTAGTGTGTATGACTCCATTACTAAAACAACAATAGAATAGGGCCGTTAAGTATTTTTTTTTTATTGGCTCATTCGAAAGTTTTTTAAAATTGATTGACCCCATGTTTTTGATTGACCCAAACACTTGCCATGGCGGAGTAGGAGGGCCTGTGCAGTGCTAATGCAGTGAATGGTTGTGTAAAGACAGTAGCATTAC